CAAAAAAAAAAAAAGAAAAAACAGCTATTAGCAAAATTGAGGAGTAAAATATTTAATTAAACATTTTTGGTGGGGCAAGTTAAGCTACGCACAATTCTCTTGCTGAACTCAATTCCAGCCACCACAAAAGGAGATAGACCCGCTGCAAAAAATCCTCAATACTTGTGATTATTTATTTACCCCATGAATTATCTAATAATGTGATAATTAATTTCAAATGGCCTATTTGAATAAAACGAGAGATAGTTACATACCAAGAGCGCCGACCACAATTTGCCAAGTGATTTGTGGCTGAGACGAAGTAATGGCCGAGATGTCGTCCACTGCACGAACCGCAGCTCTTGAACCTGATCGGATTTTGAGGCTTACCTGTGGTTTACATAGAGTGCTTGGATTTGATCCATAAGGACCGGTGAATAAAGTATAATTAACAATTTTGAGAGATGAAGAGTTTAGTGGAGCAGATTGCATTCTTTTTCAAGTATTTGATGAATAAATAATAATAATAATAATGATAGTAATAGAAAATTAGAAAGTGAGTTTTGAATTTTGCCAGTATAATATAATTTGGATAACAAATTGGAGCCATACAAATTAGAAAATTACAACCGGGACTTTCGTATTTATTTATCGTGTGTATATTTGTGCACGTCATCTTTGTTCGGCTTTGCTACAGTGCGAATGTGAATTAATTCTCTCCAAATCAAGGCTTCATTTGAATAAATTTATTATTTTATTTTATTTATCTATTTAGTTAACAAAAAAATATGTCCCAAGTTTAAGGCATCGAATAAAAAAAATACCTCGCCTAGTCAATATATATGCAATTTTAGGCCAATAGTTAATGACCTATTCCCATTTATTTTTCATTTTGGGGATCTCGTATGGTTAGGATATTGGGGGCTTCAATTCGTGTAAATAGAATTATTAAGAAAATGCATGTGTATATATTTGAATAAGATAAATCCGATTTAAAAGAAAATGAGAAGAAAATTTGAGAAAAAATGACTGCCGGCATCTACCTGGTTTGGAAACCAATTTTAGCAGTACAATTGAGTTTAAAGCTTCTCCAATATTCCAATGTTGTTATGTAATAAATTTTAACAAATGTAATTATATTAAATGGATTGTGAACTATGTAGAAAAAATGTTAATTTTACAACTATGAAATTAATAAATTGTCTCCAATGCACAATGTAGTCTAACTACATTATTTTCCACTTACCAAATATTAAAATTTTAATACGTAAGAATATCAATTAAATAATTAAATAGCTTAAAATGGTAAGAATAATTATCCCTCTTCTCATCATTGGTTAGCTAAAGTGTGGATGAACCTCATTTTTCTCTACATTGTAGACATTAATCATGTCCACATCATCACAACATTTGTGGTTACATTGTACATTGGAGGATGAAAACTTATGATATTACTAATGGGAAATATAATTTACCATAACAACATTTAAGTATTGGAGATGCTATTCGGAAACATTGTAAAAATCCTATTAATGGGAAGGAAAAGAAAAGAAAATGAAAGAGGGAAAGAAAATTGTTGCTGATTAGAAGAGAAGTAAAAGAAGTAAGGTAAAGAAAATGGAAAGAGAAGAAAAAGAGATCTATCGATACATTTGTTTTGAGTGTGCAATTGACGATGATGTTGTTTTGTGTCCGTAGAATTAGAGAGAAGCAAACCCTACGTGTACGGTGTACCTTATCCATACTAGTACAGAGTCCGTGCGATGCACGGGGTGCACAATTTTAAGGCTATCTATCCATGCTTATAATTATATACATGAATAAAAAAAATGTACGGGATATATATAGTACGTGACCCGTGCGAAACACGAGATATATTTATTTAGAGAATATTATATTATAAGATGCAATATTCAATAAAAGTTTATAATACGCAAAAAATTGTACAATGTTCAATAAAAGTTTTATAATATTCAAGTGGAGTCTTAAAGTCTCTTGTACATTAAGACTACTGACAAAATAATATTTTAATCAATGAGTTTCCTTTCCTTGTAGCCAAATTGTGAATATGATTTGAGGAGTACAACAAATCGATATATAGCTGACTTGCTTTTTTCATTGTAGTTTTTTTTTTTTTTTTTTTATAATGAATTTAAAGATATTCTAAAATATAGCAAAAATTAATTTTTTTATTACAATTAGGAATTTTACTAAATATAAACTCTCAATCTATGGTGTTAATCAACGTTTAGGTCTAAAAAATTAAGAATTTTTATCTCTTTTAATCAAAGTTTAAGTCTAAAAAATATTGAAGTTATTATAAGCTTTTTTTCTACATCTTTTAAAACATTAAATATGAGCATGTTAGGGCTAGCTTGTAAAATAATTAATATATTATCTCACTAAAACATTTATACTAATAAAAATTTAATTTTAGTATATAAATTTATCCCTTAATATAAGAGAAAGTAACAGTTTTACTTATTGTTGTTCACCATATAATATTTAATTATTATTTTATTATATAATAAAAAAAGAATATTGTTAAATAGTGTAGTAGATTTGTTATAAAATTATATGATTTTTTTTTTACAATATGGATTTAATATTTTTTTATGATTTGATAATATAAACAAATCTATACTTAACTTTGACAAATAGAACAAATAAATACTTTAGTAAGTATTAATGTATATATTAAATAGGAATATATTTAATATAATCAAATAAGTCAAAGTGTACATTTTTATTTGGTATTTGATTTTTTTATTATTAAAATCTTTTTATTATACTTACATTTTTAAAATAAAACAAATAAATAAATCAATTAAATAAATAAAATATTATAATACCAAAATAGTAATGACATTTAATGCAGTTTACTTTTCTGGATAATAAATGTAGTAAATAGAATATCCTTTTATATAGTATAATACGAAAATAGTAATGCAATAAATATTGTTGACTTTTCTGACTACTTAATTTGGTAAATAGTACCCCCTTTAATATAAATATAGATTACCAATCACATATAACAAACTCAAATCAAATTTAGTCCATTCAGTACAATGTATTCAGCAAACATTAACTTAGTCCAATCTTATTCCAACAAACAAGCTAGCCGAACTATATTACTATCCTACAGGGTTGAACCATTACTTTAAACTGGAGCATATAATTGTATTCAGTTTTTAATCCACTAGAGAAACATTTGTGACCGAATTGAAATTTACTAAGTAATGCTTTAGTTTGAACACTTCAATGACTTCCTAACATAAAAATTAGGTCGATTAGTATTTTCTGTACACATGCACTGCTTTCGTCCAGGCCAGCGCCAGCATATAGAAAAACAATGACAAAAGGGAAAACAGAAAATTAATAGGTTAGTAGCATGAAAAAGGGATTAGGAATCTGAGCCTTGTCGGTGAAGAAAATGCATCGACAGTTATTAGAAATCTGAGNTTTTGAAAATGAAAAAACACTGAATCAACCCTGAATTTTCTCCCTAAATTCACTTTTGATTCAAATACAACCCTTAAGAGTAAATTGGCCCAACATCAAAAGGACTTCACTTTTACTAGATTGAGAGAAAAGTACATTCCGGTTATTTCAGTAGTTATCAAAACCTGCCTAGGGGCAAAAGGACAGTGGATATTGAAAAGAAAATATCCTTATATGTTCTATGGATTCTGTAAGTTATTTCAAAGACATAGCAAAATATTTTGGCGCTATTTGGGAAGTTAAAAGGTCAAATGTGTGATGCATGAAGAAACTAGCTTCAAATGTACTTTGTTCCATCTTCGGTAACACTTGACAAATGAGCTATTCATGCATTAAGCAACTAAAGATAATCCAAACTCACTGATGATGATAATTGATAAATATATTACCTAAGGAAGTTATGTACCATATCATCAATATATCCATCGGTACATGAGTGAGGATAGAATATGATCGATTTCTTATATATCGTCACCAAACAATCATACACTATAAATGACGACACTACCAACACTCCACTCAACAAACACTTGAGTAACTAGTTAATCATGACGCCATAACAAAGAAAAATCAGCAATCAACTGGAAGCATTTTTTACAGAGATGAAACACGATGACGGAAGTAATGGTAGAGTCAATTCTATCTAATGCAATTATGCTCATGAATATTACATGGAAAAATCCGTCTCTTGTTAATTATTGAGAAAATTCCTGTTGTTTAGATGTTTATTAGTGGAAACGGGAAAAATGAATGTTCAATCATCAACGCCAAGATAACTAGTGAATAAAAAACTATAAATTAATACTTCAGGCTGCAGCCCACACAGACACAAATGTTCATCAATTAAAAGTAACAATAACTTGGAGAATTATTTTAACTCCCGTAATGTTGAGACAAAATGTTTGAAGAAGAATATCAAATCCAGAAACAAGTTATAAACGTGGATATAGCACTGGACACTGGTGTTAGAAATATAAATTTAAGAACGTAAGGGAAGCACACATAGCCTTGCTTGCAAACTTTTAGTTCACTATCATAAGATGACAGAAAATGGGGAAACATCATAAGTATAGCAAGCTAACCTTGTAAATTTCGTGTTCACCTTATCCAAACCCAATTAGCTTTCATATACACAACAAGTAAATAAAATGATCAACCACACTTCAGAACCATGCATTCTAGCAGATAGACGCCAAAGAGCAATATTTGTATGACCAGTACAAGCTTCAAAATCAAAATTGCGAAGATCCTCATCCATAATATGGGACTATGAAAAGTTGTCTTAATGTTCTGGACAGATTAGCACAACTTCGGAGAAAGACTAAAAAAAGTGCATCAAGACTCCCACAGGATGACATTTGAATACATGAGATATCACAAAGATGCTGATAACAAGCATTAATTGCAAATACAAGTCACATTAAGCAGCAGAAACTGGACAGGTTACTCTGAGTTCCAGCAAGTGCAAACCAACTCTTAATTATTGAAAATCGCAAGTAACTTGTTCAGATTAAACTCTTACAGCAGCACAGAACAAAAGTAATCGGCAGGGAGATTTTTCTTTCACAGCAGAAACCACCACAAATACAAAAGGCACAAGGGCAGAAACCCTTGGTAAATTTCATTTCTTGTACTTAGCAACCTCACCTTCATTTGGGAAAAAACCCATGAGCCTGCCGGCAGATTTCTGGTAAGCGTACATAAATCCTCCCATCACACCAATCAGGCCACCAGTCACCATCGACGGCCCCTTAATCCCGGGCTTAATCCCTAACCATTCATCAAACATTAAAGAAGGATGCCTTCAGATCCATTTGGAATTAGTTTAAGAAACTGAAAAATCAATAAACACATTTCCGATGAGTTACCTGAGAGATACCCGACGACGACGGAAACGCCGGTAATGGTGGAGAGGCGGAGGTAGTCGAGGGTGTTGAAATTCGCCACCGTCTTCGTGAAGGGAGGGTTCCGATCAATCACCGGGTACTCGGGCTTTGCTGACGCCGTTATGTCAGTATTCATGCTTCCTCTTTGGTGCTCAACTTTTCTTCTCTCTAGTCACCGAGATGCCACTGTTTTTCAGGTAGCTCGTTCGCGACGGGTTTACACTGCACATTACTTTATCCGGGAAGCATATGGGCCTGCTCTGTACTCAGTAGTTGTGGGCTTTCTCTATGGTCGTTTGAAGAAGGCCCATATTATATCAACGCGCAGGCCCAATTTAGGGGGGCTTAAATACAAATTTAGTAAGGTGTGATTGGATATAGATTTGTTAAATGATCCACTTTTCTTAAATAAATTCCAAAAACACTCATTTAAACAAATCTCACAACCTCAATAATTCACATAAATCCTCCCATTACGCCATTGTCGTGAAAGCCATCTACTTAATGAGGCAAGCCCCACAAAGAACATGATTTCAGTTCTTAGGTTTAATCGATTTGGATTATGGTGTTTGTGTTTTTCGTTTTCGTTAACAAATTTACAATCTTTGATAAATTCCAAGAAATTGAGTGACTGGATGAAGCTGACACGCTATTAGGGCTTTCTGGTCTGATTAATTTAGGGCTCCATTCCTTTCTCCTTGAATTGTCGACAGAGCATTTTCAGAGTCCAAATCGCGCGCACACACATACTCAATCACACACTTACTTTCAGTTTTGATTTTTATGTGTTGTATGTAGGTAGTTTTTGAAATTTGAATTGGATTTCGTACTCTCATCAGTGACCTTTCATGGCATTTAATCAAACTCAATCATCAACCATATGCTTGTCTTAGCACCCGAACTCAACTATTTTTAGTTGTTAATTTTCCTTGAAATAATTTTTTTTGCTTAATCCATATGTTGCAGTACTGGTTGAGATTGTGGAGGAATTTTCTCTGAACTTTTGCAGTTCCCTTTTGGAATAACAGATTATACTGAGAATCCTCAAGCAAAATCTATTCCTCTTTATGGAAGGGTGCGAGTTACATGCAGATAGTAGTACGACTCAAAACTGGGACGAGCTGTTCGACACCTATGCTAAAGTTATCGCATGTGATGACGACGCACTTAAAATCCGAGCCACAGTCAAGCTTGCCAAAATGTCCAGATACGCCCCTGGAAATGTTTTGGCCCGCACATTACCCATTCTACTGGAGCTTCTCGAAAACCCATCGGCCGCTCAAGCAGCTACTGCCTACTGCTTGAAACATATTGCCTCAAAATGCGAAGGCAAGTTAGCGAACATCATCGCTCAATTAGGCGGCATTCGTATTCTACTGAAACTACTTCCAGACTCCGAACACGAGCTAAAACGGACCACACTGAAGTGCCTACGAAACATCGTCTCGTTTTCCATCCCGAGCCGTTCGATTTTAGCCAGCAGTGGCGGAATCGAGACTGTGGTGTCAATGTTAGCCTCGAGCCCGGGTGACTGCGAGGTGATTCTGTTGGAAATCCTCAGTGCATTGTCTCTCCTAAGGGAGGTGCGAAAGTCTCTCTGTGAATCGAGGCAGGCCCGTTTTCTAGTTCGGGCCGCCGGGCTTGGCTGCTTGGTCTCCAGAGCCCGGGCTGCTCAGGCGATAGGCTTGATGGGGGTAAACAAACGGGCCCGTGCGGAGTTAGTCGAGGCTGGAGCCATGCATGTGCTCGCGCGCCTGCTCAACGAGGGAGATGAGTTGACGAGACTCGTGGCTGGCAATGCGCTGGGCGTTATCTTGGTCCGCGTGGGGCCCACGGGTCGAACGGGGGTCGTCCCTCTGTACATCGACATGCTCCGGTGTCGAGACCCCACTTTCAGGGAAATCGCGGAGGACGTTCTGTGTGTGCTGGCGGTCGATGAAGGGAATGCGGTTGAGATTGCCGAGCAGTTGATGGGGATTTTGAGAGGAAATGATTCGGGAGCAAAGGCTACAGCTGCGGATGTTGTGTGGGCCCTCGTGGGCCAGGAGTGCTCTGCTCGTGTGATGTGGGACTCGGGAGTGGTTGAGATTGTGGTGGAGCTTCTTAAGGATGAGGAGGATGGGAGTGTGAGGGAGAATGCCTCGGGAGTTGTTGCCCGGTTGAGTTACAGTGGCGGTGATCGTGCGGCCCTCGCCAGGTGTGGGGCCATACCGTTGCTCGTGAGAATGATGTTGGGGGATGATGAGTCGGGTGGGGATAAGGAATATGCTGCTGAGGCCCTCCTGAATTTTTCGACGGACCCGTTGTGGAGTGATGAGGTGACGTGTGTTATGGATAATCGTTTGTTTCGGAATATGTGTGATAGTTTGAGGAGGGCGTGGGCTATGGAGGAGAATGTTGATGCGATTTCGAGGGGGATAAGGATGGAGGAAAGTGATTTATAATGACTATGCTTGACTTTGTTTATTTGAGGCCCTTAGGGTGTGTATATTGTTGGAGTATGTTTTTCATGTGTGAAAAATGAACAGCTGAGTGCTTTTGTGTTTTGGTTTCTTATGTCGTTTTTCCTTTATTTTCTTTGATAAGTCATACGACGCCGCTTTATGTTAGATGCTAGGGATTAGTTCAATACGGCGTCGTTTAGTGCAGGATTAAGTATAAATATGTGTTAGCTCGTTCTTTGCATGTAATCTTTCTGAATTTTACCTGAAATAGAAAATGGAGTTTTCCTCCGCAAAATATCTTCTCTGATTCAACATATATGAGCGCTTTCTGCCTATCAGATTCTTGAATTAACCTGCAAAGAGAGAGGAAAGCTGCATCTCTTCTCTATATATTCGCTACTAATTTCGGAGAATATGTTGAACTTTGAACAGTTGGGACACGTTTGTTTGCCCGGACGAGATAGGATTACCCTAGTAATCTTGGCAATATCTAGTGTTTGTTTGACATGACTCCGGCCCTCATGATAGGATTCGGCCCAAGATCAAAATCCAATTAGTCATGGATATTCTAGATAATTTGATCCGGAGGTAGGGGGTGCGACAATTTCAATCCTTACAGTAAAAAAGTTGATTAATGTCTCCTTTGTCCTTCCAATTTTCATTTTCGGACCAAATTAACCTGCACTTGTGGAATATTTTCAGCAGCAACTATGGAGTCCTCCCCATTTGCCTCGAGCAGCATGACGTCACCTCTCCCCATTTTCCGGTTGTCTCTGTAAGTTTATCTGTTCATCGTTTAAGATTCCTAAACGATAAAAAATTTGAATTTAGCAGAAGAGGGCAAAAAAAGTGATCTCAAAGTGCACAGTTGCCGTTCTAAGCATTCATAGACAAAGCAGCGCAGAAGAAGCAAAATCAACTAGCGGTCAGCTTTTCATTTAAAAAATTCTTATATTTGTGGATTATGTTGGAATTGTGACTTCTGCGTTTTTAGATTATTCTACTGGAAAAATTCTTGGCTTTGCGCTCGTAATTCTTTTGGGGTTTCTTTCGGAATGTAAACTAAAATGGTTTAAGTATTTCAAGAATTCCTGAGTGGTGTTTCTGAGTTTATTTGTTTCTACATCATAAGCTAAAATAAGGAGAAAACGAGCATCGTTCTCAGTACATTCAAGCACCTGAAGTGCCCGTGTACTGTAGTTGCATAACCTGCTACAGTCCGAGAATACTGTTCGAGTCCTTGTTGAATCATCTTTTGCTTCACGTGAAGAACGAGAGAAACGGTTATTTCGAGTGCTAAGAGATGTGAAAAACCATCCGATTTCATGAATTTTCTGTGCGAAGGAAAATCGTGGACGAGTTTGATGTGGTCAGGTGGAGTGGGAGGAAGTGAGTTGCTTCCAGTTTAGTGGAGCTCAGGTTTGGTTACCTAAGGACCCCTTGGGGCTTCAAGTGGATAATTTGGCTTCTTTTCATTTTGTTTTTGTTATTCAGTTTGTGTGGCTTGTTTATGTTCTTACTTTTCTGTTTGTCCTTTTGGCTTTTGTTTTTTCTAGTGTTGCTGGCATCTGAGTATTGTTGCTTCTTATTCCCTTGGTCAAGTGTGTAATTCCAAGGGAGGTGTATACTGTACTCGTTTTCCATGTTAATACAATTTTTTGAAAGAAAAAAAATAAAAAAATGTTTATGGGTGAATGAATGTCTGATAAAGCTGTGAAAGTTTTTTGTGATGTGGGCTTGTGAGTTTTGTTGATTATTAAAGTTTTACTTGTGCACTGATTTGTGATGCTTGGGAATATTATATTCGAGACTCGAGTAGTAGCTAAGGCTCAGTTTAGAAATATCTCTTTTTTCATCTTTTTTGTCTTTGCTTATTTGCTTTTCTTTTATTTGATTTTGATCACAATCTTATAAGGTCCCTACTGTAGCAGTTTAGAGAACTCTTGAGATTAGTTCTTATAACCAGCTAATGAACATCATTTATTCCTCTGTTTATTTCTACTAGTATTAAATCCGTGCGTTGCACGGAGAATAGGTTCTATGACAATTATTTTAGTATGTTATTAATTAATTAAAAGTTTATATTTTTACAAATCAATTTACAAAGAATGAAATTTATTTCAATATTATTAAAAATATCATTATAAATACATTGATGTTATGACCGGTTATAGTGGTATTCACAAACTAATATTTTTAAACAAAAATTACTGCTTACTCGTCCGATAGCACAAAATAGAGTTTTTCATTTATTGGAAAATAATTTTTTCTCTCCACAAGATTCTTCCTAATATCTCGATCTTTTTTGTTTAATTTTCTTTGAGACATTTCGTCAAACACGTTGTGGGCCTGAAGGCTGAATTGTATCTTGCAAGATGTAGAGGGTTAGCAATATATTTATAAATAAATTTGTTGTAAGCCATTAGAGCTACAATTTTCTCAAAGAGAATTTCTCAAATATCCTTAATGGCAGGCACCAATTTTATGTGAATGATAAAACTTTCAATTTAAAATGATTATTATTATTACCGAACGTGTAAGAGTTGCAGACAAATTTTCTCAATTTTTTTATGTCGTGAAAATTAAGAATGTATTTATTGAATACTTCATTTTACAAATTAATCCTTTTCAGTGGTTATTAGCAATAATTATTATTAATACAGATTAGTAATAAGTATATGTATAATATAATGTGAGTGTTTGCGTTCCTGTAAGATAGACATGCCGTGGGTATTTGATATTTCTCAAAACTTCAATCTTAAGTTTTTGAAAATCAATAATTTGACTAGAACAATTAAATTTGTGAAGCTACAATTAGTAAAAAGACCAACAACAATTCAAAGTCTAAAAAAGACCTTGGTATCGTTATTTATTAATACATATTCAGAACAAAAATGTTATCTTCAATGGGCGAACCAATTTTCTCGAGGAGCCATGATAGGAGTAACACGTCAGTGAAAGACATCATAATGAAAGACATTATAAAATCATTGGGTAGAACATTATATAAACTAATATTTGACAATAAACGTACATCGGAATCATGAAAAAATGCACTCAATAAAGTGAATCACATTTCTCCCATGGGTGTAATCCTTTCGTACATCCTAATTAGACGAAGTTTCAATAATGCCTATTGTGGAAATTAGTTCGTCAATTTTTTGATCGACATAAAGAGGGGAGTCATTTTTTTGAAGCTTTGTTGAGTACGTGTAAAATATGTCTTTTGAGTTTCCATCATAATATTAATCTTATTCAATGTTATATAATCACATCACACATAAAGATGAAAATATGTTTATATTAATTAATAAATAATTTTTAACTTATGCATTTCAATCATTTTTAAAATCACAGCTAAACCAAGTATATGAGGTAGATATTATAATGGAATATGGATATTAGTTAACCAAAATCATGAATCTAGAAAATCATACCAAATTTATCACTTATATATAAAAATATATGTTTGTATGACTTACCAATATATGGATTATTAATTAATATTATTAGTTAAATTAGTGTGATTTAAAAATAACCATATTACCATCTTTATGTAAGTTCGAAATATCATGCGTGAATATGTTAATATATCATCAAATAAAGATTAATCCTGAATCTCTTAAGACATATGCTTTCTTGATCTTACCAATATATCATGCATGGATATGCCAAAAAATATTCAATATATTATGTGTGAATATATGATTTACCAAATGAATATAAAATGACTTAACAAAAAATATTTCCAAATTTATTCGAAAAATGTAGGCGATAAATAATTACCTGACCATCAAATATTAATTTTACTAACATATTATTTTAATTTTCAATAATATTATCAATACAAATAATATATTCAATGGAGACTTACCTTTTTTATGGTTAAGTTTGCTACATTTTAGAAATTTTTATTAATATTTGAAATTATTAACTTATTGATGTCGAAAATCGGACGATCAACTGTTAAATAAGAGTCGAATTTCTCGCATAAAAATTGAGGAACAAGATAATTAAAAATAAGTGTTCATTGTATTTCATGGGAGAGTTTTCTCCTCTCTTTTTGTAGTTGGAAGTCCCCCTCTCTCTCCTTCCCATCTCATATAAATACATCCCTCACTTTTTAGAAGTGGGTCATTAAATAAATAAAAGACAATACATCATTATTTAATGTGATAATCATCGTGGGACCTGCTTATGATTTTTGACGATTTCGACTAACGTGCATCTCTGCGGCCATCGTGGTGTCTACCAGAGGCGGCTTCTTTATGATGTATGTGCCATTCGATTACTTCGAGGTCAGTTTGGCTCGGCTGTACGCGGACTCGACATATGGGGATCCGGTCAATTTTTGGGTGACCATTCTTGAGAACCTATTTGTATATTTATTTATTATGTATTTTCGGCTCCTTGGTTATTGGGCCGTACTTTATTATTTCGTTTATCATTTATTTAATCGAAGTCAAATTGAGTATCAACATAACTAAGTTAGTATGATTCAAACATAGTTATTCTGATTATTCTATGATATATTTTAAGAACTTTTGATTGGTGAATATAATTAATTAAATTATTATCTACAACCATAGATGATTACACATGGCCAAATGGCGGGCCGGGCCGAAGGGTTGGGTTAAGCCGACCCTGAACCGGCATGCCCTAAATCCGTGCCGGGTCCATGGCCCGCCGGGCCGGGCTAGGCCCGACCCGGGTCTGGCCCGTTTTCTTAAAAAAAAAAAAGAAAAAAAAAGAAAATTCCAAACCTTTGGTTTTTTTTCTCTTATACAAAATAATTTTACATTGTTTGACCCCGAATCTTTAATTTATAATTATTAAGTATTGTTTATCCTCCTCTTTAATTTATAATTATTTTTTTTCTTCCTCTTTTTAAATAGGATCAATAGTAATTTTCACTTCCGCCATTGAGTGACTCAACCTCGAGGTATATTTATAATATTGTTAATTTAATATTGTTCTCATGTATCACACGGGTACACACTAGTTTATAATATGACTTTAGAATTATATGACATTCTTTAATAAATATGTTTCTATTTTGGCAAGGACCATCAACATTTCTTAATATATTTTTATTTATAAGAATTAGGGAAGGACCATCAGCATTTCTTAAATAAATTATATCTGGACATGTTAAATAAATAAAAATATATTTTGGCATTTCTTAATCTATATAAAAGAGTTTTTATTAATTATTTTGCTAGCAATTATATATATATATATATGGGGGTTGGTTCAAATAAAAATTAGTGCTGATGTGAGAACCGTGAGAACTGTTTTTTATGCTATTTTTATTTGTGTATGATGCTATTTTTCATATAAGATGATGCTACCATTTTTACAAATGCTAACCGAAATTGTGTTGCTATTTTTAATAAAATTCATCTTGGTTAAAAATAGCACCAAACAGAATCAATCATAGCACTACACACAATTAAAAATAGCGGTTCTCACGGTTCTCACACTATGACTTATTTCTCATTTGAACCACATCCTATATATATTTTCACGGTTCTCACACTATGAGTTATATATATATATATAGATTAAGAAATGCCAAAATATATTTTTATTTATTTAACATGTCCAAATATAATTTACATTATAATAGCTCCACCCGTACTATTTACATTATTTTTATTTATTTAACATGTCAAAATATAATTTAATTTGATATTGTCTTATATAATAAATATTTTCACGATGTTAATGGGTCTGTTATTGATTAGACATATTATTAGACAAATAATTATTATTTTTAATATTCTTTTGATTCATTTTATAGTAATTCAATACAAATATTTTTGTTTTTCAATATAATATTGTCATATAATTCTAAAGTCAAATTATAAATTTACTAGTAACAACTTTATCAAAATTTTAAGATAAGCTAATACAAACAACTGATGGTCCTTTCCTCATTCTTCTTTGTGAGCCGGAGCTCCTGCTCCTCCAGCTTCAGCCCATCATGACAGATGTTGATGGTCAATCAAGTTCTGACCTTAGCTGAGCATGTTGGTGTTGAAAAAAGTGATGTGGAAAATAAATATGTATATAAAGAAGTGCAAACAACTTTTAAAGTGTATGATAAACTAAAGGGATAACAAGTTACCAGATATTACCAACTTAAACAAAGCATAAGAAGATAATGTTATATTACAATATCATATTTGTTGTCTAGAACATGAAAACGCAAACTTCCTGTTTAAAAATGAAAATAACACTATAAAAAGAGTTCAAATTAGTTCCTTTTTTTNTGGACAATGTTATATGAATAAAACCAGAGACCAAAATCCACCTACCAACTTCAGAATAAAGAGTCGCTTGTCGCTATAAAGACTGCATATAAGACAATATAAAGGATCATTCGAAAAAATCAAGCACATGTTCTTGAACCCTCAACCTCAAAATGGATGATCAACCTCAAAATCCTATTCCGTTTGCTTGATGTTCGACAGAGCACAGCCTACTACAAGATACGTATAAAATTTGGTGACATGACATGTCAACTTGGCCAATAAGTAACGATAAACCATCACTCTCACTTGTATTGCAAGGAAATTATAGTTGTAGAGCAAGCCAAAAAATGGTAAAACAAATGCGAAAAAAAAAAAAATCACTAGTTCAACTTGGTCATGAGTTTAACATCATCATCGATAATTAAACGAATTTTAAGCGAGCATGACCCACAAGGAAGAATAACGAACGCCGGTAAAGATGAGTTTGCCCGTAATAGAGAAACTTCACCACCACCATTGTTCGTAAAAGTATACCCCATTTCCTCCAGCTCTGATGAATCGATCGAGAAGAAATCCCCACACCTGCAATTATACAACAGTTCAAAACAACCGCCAAAATCTTCGACAACCATGTCATTCAAGCTGACATCATCGGCATTCACGAAATTGAGTCTTGATTTTCTCAGTTCATTGTCGTAAAGGGCTCTGGATTCAGGGTTGTTAAGGACTTCCCAGGCCTTCTGCACCTCTAAGAAGTAATTATTCCTCTCGTGTTCAGGACAAAGTGGTTCGGAAGATTTCTGCAGTTTATCTGGGTGATAGTTGAGAAGGGCGGTTCGGTAAATCTTGCGGATTTCTTCTTGGCTGGCATCTTCCTCGACTCCGATTATCTCATAATGGGTTTTGCAGACTAAGGTATTACTAAGTATCATGACTGTAAGGGATTGGTTGTATGCCAAAAAAGAAAAAAAAATTAACAAAGAAATTATGAATTTCACAAATTAAGAACCCAAATGCTAAAATGAATCAACCATATAACTAGGCTAAAAAATTTATTTCTCATTTTCTTCAAAATGTCATCAGTAGACAATCCACAATATTTAACTTCACGTACAACTCATGATAGATTTTTGGATTCCTTATTTTTAAAGAAAGTAATGGTGACACTTATCTAAAATGTAACTCAGTAACTGAAAATAAAAATAAAATATAAAGTTTGTCCTGTACAACAAGATATTCTGCAGAATTCTTAGCTTATTATTAGCAGTCATCTATTGAAAGCCGATTTAAGACACAAGCGGCTTTTCACAGCAATTGCCCTTCGATTATTACTTTCTGGGAAGTGCTTGAAAGATTACTATATTTAAACATAGAGGTCCTAGAAAGAACCAAAAACCAGTAAATATCACAAATCAATTGTTCACAAGTCCTCATTAGTATCATAATTCAGCATTACATTCATAAATGTTTCTACTACCGAAAAATCTTTTCAGCTAAATGAAACATGTTGGAGTATCACTTGTGAGTTGTCTTACATTGATTCTATAGGGAAATTGGGCATAGATTATATGCCTAGTGGGCTACTCCTTCCATCACCAATTGATTTTGAGATGGAACCTCACTAAGATACACCTAGGCTTACCCTCTTATGGTGCGCTGCATTTGCGTGGGACCGCACTCGCTTGTCCCGATTCTCTAATCTCACATGGTATTAGAGCCAGGCCGCCCCAATTCTCTAAATTCTACATGGTATCATAGTCAGGCCAACTCCGCGTGTTGGAGTATCTTGTCACACATTGATTCTATAAGGAAATTGGGCCTAGCTTATATGCCTAGTGGACTACTCCTCCCATCACTAATTGGTTTTGGGATGGAACCTCACTAAGGTGCACCTAGACCCACCCTCTTATGTTGCGCTTCACCTGCGTGGGACCGCACCTTCTTGCCCCGATTCTCTAAGTTCTACAAAACATGATCGTTGTGTTTGCAAAATACTAAGACTGCTAGTTCTAGAAAATAAAACAATTAAATTCAGAAACAAAAAGATTCTAGCAAAGGTAGTGATAAAAGGAGGAGGCATTCAAAAATAAACAATGGTTGCTAAGCAAAACTAGGCAGTTCAAGCAAAGGTCGTGATAAAAGGAGGAGGCATTCAAAAATAAACAATGGCTGCTAAGCAAAACTGGTCTAGAAACTAATCAAACTATGCAGCACGAACACACAATGAGTCAAAAGCCACCAATAAAAAGAAATACAAATTAGGCGGTTCACAGCGGCCGAGCAGGAAAATGAGGAAAAAAAAATAAACCAACTGAATTTTTCAAGACTTAATGCCAAGGTTTCATTTGAGAATTAAAAAATTTAAGCTCAATTGTGGCTAACCTGCGATGATCCAAAGCTTGTCCGAAAAGCTGAGGCGTATTTCCACGGGCAGCAGAAGAAAGTTGAGAATCGAACAAAAAAAGGAGAAAATTGCGGCCACCGGAGGCGGGTGTAGGTGGCGTAGGGGCAGATATTAGGGGTCGAAGAGAAAAGAATAAGACTGACAATCGTATGAGATGAATTAGATCTTAAAAGTGGCATAATGTAGTTCTGGGCAGAGTCCATACTTATAAATTGTATATATTCTTATAAGAATTGGATTTATCTCATTTTATTTAATTTTATTTTCTTTTAAAATTTTTATTTTTATTCTTAAAAAACAACCCTTCACTTTTTTTCGCTTTCTTAGATTAGTTCATTTAACATGAAATCGTCACAACTACTCCTTGTGAGATCGACTTTTACTCGTTGCTAGAGAAAGTTTGTGAAAAAAAAATTCTAAAATTAAGGGGGCGTTTGTTTATGGAATAATTTGTTCAAAATGAGTTATTTTGGTTAACCATGGTTAATTTTGAAAAAGGTTGTATGATTAGTTGTTAGTGGAATTTTAAGAATATATTAAAATAATATTTAAAATAAAATGATTAAAATTGATTTGATGTAAATATATGAGATAAATGATTGAAAATGATTGGAAATGATAGGTAGTTGAAATTATGTGAGTGGATGAATAGTTAATTAAAGTTGATGTGATGTGTAAGAATGATTGGTTTGTATAATTTAATTATATGAATAATATTAAAGATAGTGGGGTTGGGTTAAAGTTGAGTTAGATTTTGAGTATGAATTGAATGAGAATGAAAATAATTTGTAAACAAGTAAATGTTCCACATCACGAGTGTGGGCACTTATTGTTCTCATTTTATTTATTATTATTACTCGATGAAGAAGAGTTCTCGATTTAAATTAACATGGAATTCAATTAGTGCATGGGTTAATTCATCCATCTAGGGTTACATATTTTTTATTTATGTTTTGATTTATGCTGAATGTTTGAATTTAATGGTAGTTCATACATGTTTAAACTGTTTGCTTTTAATATTATTTTTTTCCTCTATTATACTGTTTGAATACGCACTCATATAGATTAGAGTCAGTAAGAACATTGACTTCAAAAAAATCAACAAAACCAACAAAACTATTCCATATAGATTAGAGTCAGTAAGAACATTGACTTCAAAAAAATCAACAAAACCAACAAAACTATTAAAACTAACAGATTCCATCTCTTCAAATTGAAAAATGGTTATGTGTTTAGTATTTGCAAATGATAGTTTTGGCTTCGGATTCCATCTCATCAAATTGGAACTGAATAGTGAAAAGCAGTGGAATGGTGAAAAGCCAACAGATTTAGATCTATTTTAGGAAATTTTCCACTCAATTTCAGGAATTTACAAATTAGAGTACATGAGGATGACGATGGTAGATTTGTAATAGAGCTGAAAGAAAGAAAAAAAAGTCCAATCGCCAGAGTTTTAAACGAATATCGCCTCGAAGATTACAGCAAAATTAAGATTTAATTAGATTGTTCAACAAAATCGACAAAACCCATGAAAAAAATGTCAAAATTAGGGCTTTACCGGCAGCGCGGTGGAGGCTTCGGAAGAGCAACTGGCTGGAGAAAGGGAAGAGGTTTCCTTACAGGAAGAAACGCGGCGGAGATGCGGCGGCTGGAGAAGAGTCCTGGCGTAGAGAGTGGTGAAGAGGAGATGCCATGGTTCCACCGGCGAAGTTGCGGAGATGGGAAGCTTTCTTCTTTATCGCAATTGTATAGCTGATTGAGAGATTCCAAAGTTATATTAGTATTAGTATTATAGAATTATCCAAAGTTAGCTTTTGAATATATATGGAATGTCCGAACCTAAAATTATGGATTGAGTAACATTATTATTTATCCAAACTAAATTACGAACCATGATTTCTCGCCAAGTAGGATTTCGAAGCGCGACAACTTGACATTTAGGCTCAGCACATTCTGTAATTATATATAGGTATTAAAAATTGTATCTCCCATAAATAATATCTTCCTATTACCATTTTAACAAGGAAAACTTTTTTTTTTTTGAACATGTTTCCGAGAGACCCGTACATGCTGAAAGACCTATTGCCTACAGACCTGTTTCCTAGAGACATGTTACCATTTTTAACAAGTAGATATTTTTTTTGAACAATTCTACAAATTTGTGTTTTCTTTTAAACTAAGAAACACCGCCGAAGGGTGGGGGATTGAAGTATGATCCCCAATCTGTATATAGTCAAGACCCTAATTGGGCAGGAAAATCCTCAGGTCCACTTATTCAAACAAAAAATGAAAGCAAAAACAGTTATTTCATAACATAAGTATGCATTTTTATTATAAAAATATGACGGGTCACCGGTTAGGTTGTCTCACTCAAGAATTAGTATATATTTTTTCCCTAATTGAGACAAATTATATTTTTTCTTTAGAAAAATACTTTAATTAACCAAATCTCTTGAAAAAATATTTTAACAAAGTGAGATGTACGTTTAAGATTAAAAATGAATTATGGACTAGGATATTACTATTCACCGCCCGCCTATTACTACTCACCGCTCCCCTTCCCCAATTATGTTTTTACCCTTAAACACTCTCTCTCTCTACTCTTTCCCTTTCGATTTTCTACGGCTTTTTTGACCGTAAAAAAAATTTAGATAAAATTCCAAAAAAATACCATGACATCGGCAAGACATTGAAGATTGACCATGTATTTTTTTTTTTTTTTTTTACTNAAAAAAAAATACATGGTCAATCTTCAATGTCTTGCCGATGTCATGGTATTTTTTTGGAATTTTTTCGAAATTTTTTTGACGGTCAAAAGAGCCGTAGAAAATTGAAAGGGCAAAAATGTCTAAGGGGGCAGTGACTAGTAATAAAGGGGGCGGTGAATAGCAATTCAGATTTAAAAAGCTGAATTTAAATTTGTTTTCTCAACTAACTCCTCTTTTTGCTGCACGTTCTTTTTTGGCGCACATTCTCTATTAAACTCTTGGTAGCGACTGGCTCAAGGCTGAGGGCACGCCTGCCTGGGCGTCACACATCACGAAAAAAAGCTCTTTAGTAGCGGCTAAAAGCAAATTGTGAAAAACTAAATCGTGCCATATATCTAATCATTTATATCACAACAAATACTTCTATTATTTTTCCTCCTCTGACAATGGAAGATGAAAACTTTGTGCGTTCAAGTAATAAGTTTGTCGTTCCGAACTCTTTGAGAGATTTCATTTTTTTGCGCCATGTATCAACCAGAAAATTGTTTAAGTTTTTTGTACTTCCAATCTGTTACTATATAACTCTCTAGTTCATTGAGCTCTAGTGACCCAAATATCAAAATATACTTTTGTAAGGATTTTTTATTTTCAAAAACGTTGAAAATTTTATTAGTGTCCTAGATGGTTGAAATCTATTTCATGTGTCTCACTTTTTTAATTTGATGGAAAAATCTATATATTAAAATAAGTCATTTATATTTGGAGTGTTTTGAGTGTCATGCTTCTGATGTCCCAAATTGGTGAGAGCATGAAAAATGCTTTAATTGTGGACTCAGAAAATGTGAACTTTAATGAGATTGCAAATGATCTTGATGATTGAATTGATGATTCTTTAATCGTTTCGAAGGTTGGTATGCAGTTTCTCGATGAAAGTTTATGAATTAAATGCGCGTATGCCGTTTTTCCTGTGAGAAGAAAAAGTTCGAGTAAGGATGATGATGGAATTCTAAGATATGTCACGTTCACGTGTAGTCGCGAGGTACGAAAACATAGTTCTACATGAACTTTCATGAAGCTGCAACCAATAAGTAATACTAAGGCGTAAAGCTAGAATATCAGCATATTTGGATATACATGCTTACTAAAAAATTAATAATGTCCAGCTGGAGCACAATCAAAAGACTAGTTCCACTAAGTCGAGGTTATATCGATGTCATCGCAAGTTGAGCTCAGTATCAAACAAAAGCTTAAAGTGATTGATATAACCAGTATATCATTACATAAAAGTTTTAACATTGTAGTTGTTAAAGTTGGCGGCTATGAGAACATAACTTTTATGAAAAAGGATTGTCGTAACTATGTTTAGGCAAGACGCTAGTGACTTGACGAAGGTGATGCAACTGCAATACAATCTTACTTTTAGGATGTACAAACTCGATGCTCAGATTTTTACTTTAGCATTGACTTGTATGAAGATTCTCGATTGAAAAATGTGTTATGGGAAGATAACAGATCTAGAAAAGCATATAAAGAGTTTGGGGATGTCGTCACATTCGACACAACCTATCTTACTAATAAATATGACATACCTTTCGCCCCTTTCGTTATCGTTCGTCATCATAGGAAATTAATATTGGTGGGTTGTGGTTTGGTATCGAATGAGGACACTAGTATATTTGTGTGGCTGTTCCAAACATGGCTTAAGTGCATGCATGGTCAAACTCCAACTGGAATCATTATCGATCAACATAAAACAATAGAAAATGCAATTCAAATAGTTTTTCCAAACACAAAACATAGACGGTGTTTGTGGCATATCTTGAAGAAGTTACCCGAAAAGTTTGGATTTCATGTTGAGAAAGCCACAATATTTTTTAATTATGTATTGTTATGATTCATAGTCAGTGTAAGAATTTGAGGAAGGCTGGAGAGTAATGATTGAGAGATATCACTTACATGGAAACATTTGGTTATCAAGATTGTTTAATAACCGCGTTCGTTGGGTGCCCTATTACTTGAAATCCAACTTTTCGGCAGGCATGTCGACGACTCAAAGAAGTGAGAGTATCAATGCCTTCTTTGATGGCTATGCACATGTGAAGACATCATTGAAGAAGTAATTTGTTGAACAATACGAACGAGTGCTTCGAAATAAGGCCGAGAAAGAAATTCAAACGGATCACAAGTCATTCTCTCAATTCATATCGTGTGTGATGACATATGAAATGAAAAGGCAATATCAGTCATTATACACAATTTCAAAGTTTAGAAAAGTATCGACCAAGTTTACGGGAAAGGTTTATTCTGATTTCATATCCGCAGTAGACGAGAATACATGGGCGAGATATGAGGTATGCGAAGACATATTGTGTGGCGCTAAAAGGAAGAAAAAAAATATTTCTGGCATGATTTGATTTTGAGAAATTTGAAGTGTCATGTAGTTGTCTCTTATTTAAGTACCGGGGAATATTATGCGGACATGTGATCACAGTTATGATACGTAATATTGTTGTTGTGGCGCCTGATCGCTATATACTTTGATGGTGGAGAAAAGATGTTACCGAGCATACATGAGGATAGTTGTTGGCTCTGATGGTATGGGTATTACTCCAGCACAGAAAAGGTATGACGACATGTGTTGCTCATTCACATAGGTGGCGGACCGAGCAGCAGACATGAAGAAAAATATATTTCAATCCATGGTTAGATAGAAAATCAAAAGAGTGAACTTATTTTGACGAAGTATGATTCCTGTGATGTTAAAAGTTCTTCCGCTTCCTCAGTTAATTTCTTAGTCGAAGATATGTATGAATATAAAATATCCAAAAAATCAAAGACAAAAGGCGCGCCTAAGGCAAAACGGAAAAAGGGCCCGTTGAAAGTGAGCTCAAATAAAGCAAATGTAAATTTTAATTTTATGATAATTTTATAACTTTCTCTTTAGTAAAGTAATTTATATTTGTGGTTTATATCAAGGAACGCTCAAGGAAAGTAAATAAAAATGATCCGACTCACAAACCCAAAAGCATCACAAATGCTACTCTTGAACTCTTTCCAGCTGAATCAAATTTATTTGCATCAGTTCCATAGGTTGGTTACATGATTTGTTGGAGGACAAGTGTAATATTCTAGTTAGATTAAGATGGAACGAACCGAATATCATCCCGCCCGAGATTCGTGAAGCATCTATGTAAGAATCTACACGAGTCGTTTCCTCGTTTTCCTTGGTTGAGAAGATTGCGTGAGGGATTCTGGGATCAAATGTTAGGTCACTATTTGGACAACCAGTTGATCTTTTTTGTGATAGTATAACATGTGATAAGAGGCACCACAGTAACTTTTACGATTAAACAATTGATTTCGATTTGCATATTAAATTCTTTTAGTTTCTAACTTTCCCCAGGATTTCAATTCATTTTTTTTTTTTTTTCTATGTTTTATGCCTTTTTCTATTAGCTTTTAAGGTTCTAAATTCTCAATAAGATTTTTCAATTTGTAATTTCCATTTTTAATTTTTTGTTTCTGGTGGCTCTATTCTTGTGTGTATATGTGTAAGAGAACAACCTATATTTGCAACTCCAGCAGTTCAATGAATGTTACAAAATGTTGCAACTTGTAACTATGTGCGGTTACCTTAGTTTCTGGAAGAACCAAAACCTGGACTCCCATTGTCACATACTATACATACTCCACAACCATATAACAAACTTGATATTTGATTCCCCAATGGTTTCAGGGGTGGCATCCACCTATCCTCAAGTGATCGAGATGAGATTGCGCTTAATCCCGGTTTTAGTTTAATTATTTAATAGCTTGATTATTTATTTCTATAGTTATTATTATTTCCTTTATTTATTTTATTAAGTTGGTAGGAAATTAATTATTTTAGTGGGTATTTATTTGTCTAGCAAGATAGGTCTTTAGACTGTTTAGAACTCTATTTATATCTGTTTTCTAGGCCTCAGACGGCGGCTTTGAATGAAAAGAAAAAGATCGTAAGATTTTGAGATTTATTTCTCTCGTGTTCCTTTCGTTTAACGCTGCACTACATCATGAAGTCTGATATTTTGTAAATAATTAGCATAAAAAAGTAGATTTAAGAAACCA